TTCTGCATCTGAAATTACTAGGAAAAATACTGTCCACTTAGTCTTATCACTGCAGTCATCTTTAGAGGCCCTGGGAAGTTTTGATAAATTTGCTATCTCATTAGGCATTGCTTCCCTGTAATTAAGATGACATTTTGGCTTGCTATTACTTTTGGAGAGACCATAAATTCAGCATTCAGGAAGTGATGACAGGCTTCGAGAAACAGGCAAATGAACAGGGGACACAGCGCTTTCTGAAGCTGGTTCTTCCATAGCCCATCTGCATTCAGACATATGCTAAAGAAAACTACAGAAGTAGAGAAAAAATTCCAGGGAATGATGCCAGCAAAAAAAGAAGAATGAAGTAAAGAAAGAAGAAAAGGAGACTCCCTTTGAAATAACATAAAAATAACACAATTTGGAGCTTTAGGGGATCAAACTAGAAGAAAGCTTATTTACACCAACTGCTGGGAATAGCTGAAGTGTTCTAGAAATAGTCCAACCCAGGAAAATGCATAAAGTACTCAGTAAAAACTTAGTACTGTTATTAGTACTTAGTATTGTTATTTTTTATAGCAAATTTAAATTCAGCAGCCTTACTAATAATATGACTACACATTAGAGATAAAAAAGAAAATGTCTTACAAACATTTCAAAGTATGTACAGAGAGAACAAAATCTAGAATAATCTATGGTAAAATGCTATTGTAATTTCAAGTAGAGACAAGTAATTATCCTAATCAATCCTTTTGAGATAAATACTAAAATAAGTACTGAACTTATAAAAATTATATACCAGGGCCAGGGATTTAGCTCAGTGGTCCCGCCGCCTGCCTCGTAAGCGGAAGAACCCGAGTTCGATCCCCGGTACCAAAAAATAAGTAAATAAATAAAAATTATATACCAATACTGGAATAAAAATTGTTTTTATTATTTAATAAGAATAAAATCAAGTTTTTGCAATAAATATTTGAGAGGTTAATGACAAAATAATTGAACACGTCAGGATAAAATGAGTACACAGGGTAAAACAGGATGGTGCTTGGGAAGCAACACATGCTTAATAATTTTATTTATTTTACAAATCTAGAACCAAAAATTTTGACACCAATGAGAAATAATATACTGTTTGTTCAATACTGTAAGTCAAATTAAATCACAATTTATCACAGCTCAAAAATCAACTCCAAAATATATGACCTACCTTTTTAATGATGCTTTTCTGTAAAATTATCTGTATTAGACACTGTCTGTCATAAAGCAGTAGTATGTTTCCTGAGTGACCAAATTAATGGCCAAGTAGTTTTTACCTTACCAAAAAATGTTTTTATCTTTCCAAAAGCAAAGTAACACAAAAGCATTAAGTAAAAACAACAAAAGCATCCAGCATGACTCTTAGTTTAAAAAAAAAGACACAGATTTATGCACAAGAAAAAAATGACCCAAGAAAAGCATAAAAATATTAACAATCATTACTGTTGCATCATAAGATTATGGATCATTTTACTTTTCCCCTTAGTACTGGTTTTATGCATTTGGGCAAATTTTACACTAGAGTTCCCAGTAAATTTTAAAAAGTAATTTAAGAAAAGAAAAAAGTAAATGATAGTTTTTTTTTAAATCTGCACATATAAATTACTGATTTCTTTTTTGGTACTGGGGATCGAACTCAGGACCTTGCACTTGCGAGGCAGGCGGTGGAACCACTGAGCTAAATCCCTGCCCCATAAAGTTACTGATTTAAAAAAAAAATCTAATATGCTGGGGCCAGGGATTTAGCTCAGTGGTTTGGCCGCCTGCTGTGCAAGCGCAAGGACCCGAATTCCATCCCTGGTACCAAAAACGAAAAATAATAATCTAATATGCTTTTACCTAAAAATCAACTGAGAAGCTTTAGAACTCTTCTTTGAAATAGCAGAAGTTCTGAATTGAAAAACAAAAGATATATTTATGAACAAAAGGATTTTACACTTTTCTGAGTTACTTCAGTTTGTCAAGCTTTCCACCCACAGGGTCACAAAATGGTAAACAAAAAGGTTTATACTGTTACACAGACTTCTTAGTTGAGCAAACATCCACAGAACCCAAACCACCAACCAAGGGTGTACGAGAGGTGGGGGTCAGTGTTCCAGAGACTCAGCACTGGCCTCCAAGCCACCCTTGTTTCACAGAGGCCTGTGGTGATCAGCTGTGCCTTCTGCAGAGTAACTGAACTACAGAACAGCTGGGAGGAGAAGCAAGCCTATGTGAAAAAAGCACGATGCCGACTAACAATATTGTCCATATTAAGCTCCGTATTTTCTCTGAGTCAGAGTGTGGGTCACGTAAAACTAAAATTGGCCCCAGAGAAGAGGAAAGTTTCTCACAGATTGCCATTTAAACCTCCAATGACCATGTTTCACAGCAGGCTCAATACATTCCAGCATGTAACTGCATTTTAATTTCCTAAAACCACAGGATGTAAGTCTGATTTCAAATAGTGTCTGGACTGTGATATTCAATACTGATAAAACTATACTGTATTCTCTTAAAAGTTTCAAAGACCCAGTATTGAAAAAGAACCTTCATTTTTTTTCAAAGCATTATTCTCAAAGAAATTTCCTCTGAGTTTTGTATGAGTTCTAAACAAAGAATAATAGAAAGCTAGAGCTGCTGTCATGAGGAATGTAACTTACTAGATTACAGGAAAAGAACAAGCTATATATTTATCACTCACCAGGATACAGTGTGTTCTTGACAAAAACAGTCAATATAAGATTTCAAATCTTCTTTGGCATGAAATGTCCATTAGTGATTTTGGAAAATAATTTTAAAATTTATTAACATGAATAATATTAACATGAATGAATATTTACTTCCATTCAGTGCATGAAAATTAGTCACTTTCTCAACTTTATAAAACAAAGAGAACTTAAAAAAAATTTAAAAAAACAAAGAGAACTTGTGATCTCTTTAATATCCACATATTATATAAGAAAAGAAGCAAACTTTAAAATAGATTAAGAAGGGAAAAAGAGATAAAACCGTGTCATACATGTGGGAGTTAGAAACAAATTTCTGGTCATAATACTATTCAACTGGAAGGAACTTATAAAGAAAATGTGAATGTGAAATAATTTGATAAAATGTTAGGCAGTTTTTGCCACAAGGGCTTGGCTCTAACATGACCTGGAGAAAAGGAAGAAAATTGTTTTGTTTTTGTTCTCGACCAAGAGTTGAGTGGATAGGTTTTTGCCTTCTTCTCTGACACTACTGTCTTTGGCTACTGACTTGATTCCAAAACTGACTGAGAAATTTAATGTTTGTTTTCAAGTAACACAGTATCTGTTTGATCAAGTCTGAGATGAAATAATCTCATTCTGATTAACAATTTGAGGTGTAAGAATGATAAGCCTTTAAACTATAAAGCCTACATGTCTGAAAAACCTGGGGCCAACTCCAGAACACGTGGCGAATATGTCAGCTGGGTCCCTAGGCTGCTCTTCACCAGATAAGGTACCACCACGGGTAAGAAGTACCATTCTTGATTTCATAACAGCTTTTCCAGGAGGTAACAAAATACATAAAGAAAGTTTTATAAGGAAAAACCCGATTTGTGAGAAAAAATGCACATTTTAGAACTGAAGGAATTACTCATTTCTTTCCTTGCTCCTTGTGTTCCTGTTTAATTTTCTCTATTTATTCCTTTCCCCTCTACTAACCTTTCCATTTCTTTCTTTCTTTTTTAGATCATAGGTGGGAAGCAGAAAAATGTGTTTTCAAGAGGAATGAATCAGGCATCTCTACAGTGGATTTGAGAACTGAAAGCAATTAAGCAAAATTTGGAACATCAGGGAACTTCAGCATGGGGAGATATGCATTCAGCCTAAGACAACCTATCCCAAGAGCATCAAACTATCCCTTCTTAACAAAGCAGCAGTTGAATGCCCTGAGGATCAGAGGAGAACTACTTTATTGTGCAAATGATACTCAGGCTACCAGGACATAAATATAACTGTACATTCTTCCAGAGAGAATTACAGAGCAAATAAAAGTAACTGCAGACAAAAGCTTGTGGTATTTATGTGATACACCATTCTAATTTGGGTAACAATCTCCAAAACAACAATCACAGTGAGTGATTCTTAGCATGTCTACCTTATAATCTTCATGTTAGCTCAAGAAGGTAGATCCTACTGTTATTTTAACATTAAAAGTGCAGTTGTTCCCAGCACGTGGGAAGCGAGGCAGGAGGATCACAGTGAGTTTGAGGCCAGCTTAGGCTACACAGTGAGTTCAAAGCCAGCCTGAACTACATAGTGAGACCCTGTCTTAAACAACAAAATAAAATAAAACAAAACAAACAAAAAAGTGAGCAAGTCAAGGCCAGGAAAATTTTTTAATTCCGAGGAACACATAGTGTATCAAATGATTATGAAGCCAGGATCTGAATCGAGGAAGACTGACTTCAAGGCTATGCAGTACTTTTAGTGAGTGTCTGTACACACTAAGAAAGGCTAATATCCAAAGGAGAGCAATGGAAAACAAAATATGGCTGGCGGCAAAAGGTGGGAGATGAGGCAAAAATGGGAAATATATCAGCGTTGTAAGAAAAAAACCGAGAGCATTGTCTTAAGACCCCTCACAGCCTGTCTGCCTCCGTGACATCATTCTATACTTGTCCTCAGTCCAATGGTCAATATTTCTATCTTCTAAGCATTGGCCACAAAATCAGTAGTAGACAATTCTTGTACTGCAATGGTTGTAAAAGAAATGGGGAATGTTGTCAGACTTCAAACCATGTAAAGCTAGTCTAACAGAAAAAGACAGGGACAGTATGTAGCCCAAATACAAGAAGTTTCTTAATTTTCTGCCAAACTGTGAATGTGTACAGGCATGTATGACGTTTTCCCCTGCTTTACACACACAAGTGCACATGTACACGTGCACACTCTACAACAGATAAAGCTACTCTTGCAAAGTGCACACGGATCTTGCAAACAAAGCCAACGATCTCCAGGTAAGCTCTGCTCTAAACATACCTGCTTCTGGGTCCTGGTTGAAACGGCAATATTTGGAGTTTTCAAGTGAAGGAAGGCACTGCTCGATGGGTACCCAAACATACGTCTCAGGACACAACAAATCCGAAGGTCTGTACTGACCCTACAAGAGAAGTGAAGAAAAAAGGCACAGGCACAGCATTACCAACACAGTACCTCCTAATTTACAGGCTCTAGAGCACCAGGAAAGATCTGAACTACAAATTTAGACAAAGCCAAGCAGAAATAGCTTCACCATAAGGACTCTGTGACCCTGTTAGTGATCTCTGTCCCATCTCGAGCACGCACAACGGACTGAACATTCTCTAAAAGTGACATGTTGCCATTTAGGATGCTGGGTTGATTTGGAAGATTCGAATTTGTACTCTTTTCAAATAAATATTTAACATAATTCTTGATAAGCTAATTGCTGACACCCAATTTCAAAATCAAATTGTCTTTTAAGAAACAGTGAATAGGGCCGAGCACTTAGCTCAGTGGTTTCGCTGCCTGCTTCGCAAGCGCAAGGACCCAAGTTCAATCCCCAGTACCAAAAAAAAAAAACAGTGAATAACAGAGGGAAACTTTTCATGTACTGGAAAACTTCATGAAGTGAAATTATTTTCCAAATTTCACTGAGCTTCATGGAATCTCATTATCTTTAATCACAAAATTTTAAATCTATAGAATCAGTTGACAATAATATTCATTCCATTCTAATGTATTAAAAATGTTATCAACCTACTTCTACAATTAACCTAAACTAATAAATGTACAGTAAAAAGAAGTTTAAAAATATAATGGAAATATCAGGGAAATGTCTGTGATAATCCCTAGCCTTTCTTCAAACATATATTTTATAAAAAATAATTTATATATTTATAACTCAATTATATACCCCAAATCCAAAACAAGGATTATATAACACATGCTGAAGAAAAAAATTATTCATTTATGATACTAACAGAAAATGATACAAATTATGAGAAAGGATTTAGTAAAAATTTTCATGTTGAGCTTAATTAAAATTCACAACATTTCTTTGTTAAATATTAAAATTCAAAATTCATATGCAGATTAAATTCTAGTATAGTTAGAAAAATTGTTACTATACTTCATACATACATTTTACATCACAACTTCATAGACATATATGCAAATATAAGACTAGAATAATAATTTTTACTATAAAATGCTTACCCATGTTCTACTTTTTTTTTTTCCTTTTCATTACTGGGGATTGAACCTAGAGCCTTTGCACTGAATTACACCCCCTGCCCACTTCGTGAACCCCCGACTGGATTTAAGAATGATACTGACCATAAAATGAACATTAAATGAATCCTCATGATGTGATGGCACTAGTTTACTGGTAATAAAAAGATGAACAAATGCATACCTATAGATGATTCACAATCTAATGGGAATGACAAAGCTGTACAAAGATGAAGTACCATAAAAATATATTAACCATGATAGGGCATGTCAAAGATCCTAAACTTTGACAAATTCTTTGAAGGTAATACCTGCTCATACAATTAGTATTTTATTTTTAATTTTCTAAATGCTCAGGTTATCTTATTAAAAGATCATAAAGATGTACATTTTGCCTTCTGCTCATCATCTGAAATCAAATTTTTACATGAGGTTAAAACACTATTTTTCTCTAAAGTATGTTCAGACTTATTTCAGTACTTCAGATATTCTCACAAGCCCTCAAAGAATGCAGTTTTATTAAATAAACCACTTTGAAATGTTATGCTTTCTAAATTAAGCTGGTTGGGAGTTAAATGACCAAAGTGCTTAAACTCAATTTAGAGTCACCATCACACAAATGAAAAATAGAGGGATTTGAAAGCTACCCTGCCTTTTCACCACTGTAAGAAAATGAGAAATGTTTGTATTAAGAATGTAATTACTTAAGGATTTGGACATAGTTTCCCGTGGTAAGAAGAAAAAATATTTAATCAACCTCTAAGTACATTCATTCAGAATGGAACAATGAGGTAAATGCAGATTAATTCTTTCCTAGGGTGCTGACTTTTTGTAAATAAGAAATCTGAGTTACCACAGATTTCTCAAGTGCTCAAAATTTTGAAAACATAATTGGTCTAACAGAGTTTACTTCACAATGTTTTGGAGTTCTTTCAATGTGGTGTACACTTTAGAAGATGAGCTCTGGACCCCCTTTGTGCCTTTTCACAAACCCAACAAGAACAAAACACATCTTACATGAAGGGAACTATCCTAAAGGGGCAGCATAAGCAAGATACAATGCCTGCAAAGTTAAGCGTTGGCTTAAAAAACCCTAAAAAGAAGATGCAATGCTTAATTTTCATGCTAATTAAAATGCTGAGATGGCCCCTTAGTTCAAAATCCTCAAAGAGAAAAAGTTGAGCAAATGCTGTGATTTACAACTTCACCAAACTGTTACAACTTCTGCAATTACTTACAAACTGTGTTGGAACTGGAAAACAAAAGAAAAATAAAGAAAATCAACAAGCTAAGTGCTGCTACATTCTGTGTTGCCAAAGAAGAGTTAATGTTTTCTGAGAGTACAGCTGTAAGATTCAATAGTTTCCTCTGTAATGAAAACCACTTAAACTACTTATAAAACCCAAATTATACTATGCCTCTCTCCCACAAGTAAAAAGAGAAAAAAATTAAAATATGGTCACATAATATTTCGATCAATTTTACTACATTGTCATAAAATAAAAGCCTAGGAAATGCCAAAGTTAAATCTAAAACATAGAAGAAAAAACTGAAACCCCCAGCTAAATACATTTCCTGCTATATTTCAATTAGAAAAGTCTGTCTTGAGGAAGAGAACATCATGCAATTTGGGTTTTGGACAATGGAATGAACGAAGGCATTCTTCTCACTTGCATGCCTTAGACCATAATTTGAAGAGCATTATCATATTGATCTAATTTTTTACCCTATAAAAGAATCACAAAATAAATTATGTGAAAAAATCTTAGTTCAGTAAAATGTCTGAATTCATCCTAGAAATGACATTCCCTGTGATAGTCAGAGGTTAAAAATATCTCACTATCATATCTTACCAAATAACAGTCAATGAGTATGTAAAAGATGCACGCAAATGGAATTTCATTTGATTTCATAATCAGTAATAATTTTGGCAAAGATACTTTAAAATACATTAACTTTTTTAAAACTTCAAATGAAAATATAGCCAACAACACCAAGAGATTCTTCCCTCAGTTAAAGATATATCTGGTTAGGAATCTGAATTTCAAAGACAAATGTCATACCAATGACATGGAAAAGGATTGTAAAAAATGGTTCTAGCAAACCATGGCAATCAATATTTTTTTGCAATGTTTTATTGATGTAATCCATAGGCATAAATGTCACCCTTTTAAAGTATACATTCAGTGTTTTTATATTTCAAAGCTGTGCAATTATCATCACTAAGTAACTCTGTAACATTTCTTCTCCCCTAAAACACCCTATACTCTTTAGCAGTCACTCCCTATTCCTTCACCCTCCAGCCCTAACAACCATTAATCTACTGGTAATTTATTTTAAAATGGTGTATTTCTCCACATTGCTATGTTTCTTATTTGACTCAGAGTAAAACACAAAGACATGACACAGCCTACAAGTGCCTAAGTGGTGTAGCCCGTATCACCTTTCTGGCCTGTTTTTCTACAACTTGCTACTCCACCCTGCCACTTGGCCATACTGGCCGCTTTCTGGTTCCTGGAACATGCCAGGGTGCTCCCACCTCCCGGCTTCTCACAACTGTTCTCTATTTTGGTCTTACATATATTCCCATGGCTAACCTGTCATCTACTTTAAGTTTTGCTCAATGTCACACTCTCAATAAAGTCCATCTCTCATCTCTATTTTTCTTCTAAAGGGCTTATCAACTTCTAACATTCTTATTAATTCACTTACTTATATCTACATGGAATTTCTTGTTAGAATGTATGGTCAGGGATTTTTAGTCTGAGCTGTTCACCCCTGTGTTTCAAAACCTTCTCACTGGATGAATGAACAATGAACCTAGCACTACACTCCACCTCTACCATTTCTACTTTCATTCTCTAAACCCAGTGTATGCTACTTTAATACCTCTTGCCTTGTACATTAACATGGCATGCATGAATCAATCTGTATTTGCTGAACTCCTACTTATGATGCAGGGCCCCCATATTTTCACCGTACAAGCCTAGTTCCCAACCTTGGGAATTCATTGAACTATTACCAAATCCTTAAGTTATATTATCATGAAATGGTCTATGAAAGTTACTGAAATTAAAAAGGGATATGCACTGAGACTGTACTTGACATCTAAGAGGGGAAAATGAACTGAGCCTTGGAAAGTGCTTGTCATCTGCAAGGAGAGAGGAAGCCACTGTGCCCAGGGACTTCAGCCAGAAGTGAGCGCAGGACAGTGGCACAGGGCACTGCGCGGTCACAAAGGAGCTGCCTCAGACAGCAATACCAGAAGAGAAGCGAGGACTACACATCAGCTGTTGGTGGAACCAAAAGGTGAAAGGATCAGCTTTCTCTGGAGCAGCAGAAAAGGTCCACTCTGCAACATGTCTTCAAGGCTGAGTAGCATCGTGTTCAAAAAATGAAATTAGCCACTCACCAACAGCAAACACAGATCAGAGACCTACTGAGCTGTCTCCCTCCTGAGCTCCCAAATACATGTCGATCAAAATTTCACCAAATAGGAGATGAAAAGAGAAACACCTGTTTCATCTTTACAGCTGGAATGTGCTCCTGTGCCTTCACGGTTTAGGGAAGCTTTCAAAATAAATTCATCTTTAGTTTCACATTCAAACTGTTAATGTTAGGTTAGCTACAAAGAGTCACTCCATCTTTTCTCTGAACAAATGCCAATTTCCATAAATTCAAATTTATTACCAGTATCTTTCCTCTTAATACAAAATGATGTATTGGAAGCATGTTTCAAGTTCATGAATAGATCCACCTACAATCTAGTATTATCTGGAGAAACATTATGAAACCCATGGTTTTAAAATTATATTATAGTTTCTTTTATCTTATTATATTTTCTGTCTTCCTAGATGTCCATCAAAGTATTTCTTAAAATTGAATGTATAGTTGGTCAGAAATAAAAGA